CCCTCTCTAAATCAAATAAATAAATAGCAACATGCAATTATGGAATACTGCTATTATACAGGAATAGAACATATAATAAATATGGTCATGATCTATACAAATACCTGAATCAAATTTAAAGCAATGTTTTAAATCTGCTTTCCTTTATATATTTTTAACATTTTCTACAATAGTCATGTTATTTTTATATTCCCTCCCTAACCCCCGAAAAAGGTATGGAAATAAATCATCTCTCTGCAGTCACAGAAGAGAACAAGTCTTAGAATTAGAATCAGAGGCAAATCCTGCTTGCTAAGCTGGGAATATGTGTATTCATCTTTCTTCCTTAGACAGTTGTACTGCAGAATAAAGTCACCTATACTCTCCCCTTGCTTCAGAGACCAGTTCATTCATATACACATCCATTTATTTTTTCATTCCATCTATCTGTCAGCTTTCATTTAAAGCCTTCCATGTGTAGGAGCTTAGTGCTAGTTTTCCTTTCTATATATGTTCTTCAGAAACCCACTAGGTATTGAGTTAATATCTAAGCTGGCTTCTGAAGTCCCTTGGAAAAGTCTCTTCCATAGTGGAATATTATTTGTACCAATATGAATTAGAATTGAACCCAGAAAAATAGTGTTGATGGGATGGTATGGCAGGGTTTAGGGTATTTTTTTCCCTTGATTTACATGTATCATATAAGGAAAAGGAAACCTTAACCTTATTCAGAATACTTCCATTTTTTTTAAATTTCAGAATATTACGGTGGTACAAACCTTTAGGTTACATATATTGCCTTTGCACTGGCTGAGTCAGAGCTACAAGCATGCCCATCCCCCAGACAGTGCACATCATACCCATTAGGTATAAATACACCCATCCCCTCTTGCCCCCCCCCACACCTACTCAACACCTGATGAATGTTACTTCTGCTTCATTTTTAATCCCAAGAATTATAATGAATGACAAAAACCACCTTCTTCTTTTAATACCCCAAGAAGATACATTGTTCAAAATCAAATGGTTCAAGGTCACATCACCATGTTTCTTCCTGTGGCTGTGGTAGATGCCTCTTTGGAAGTCTTTAGGAAAAAAATCATCCTAATCCTACTCTTAGGGTAGGGCTTCAGGGACTCAATCCAGTAGGTGTTCTTTTGCCAGAATGGACCCAAAGCCAATTCTTGAGGGAAATGCTGACTCTGCTCTAGGAATTCCTGAGTTTGCCTTTAGGTACAGATGGGATGCTCTACCACTGAGGTCAAAATCTATAATCAGCTCCTTAATTTCCATATTAGGACTTAACCTTACCTGATAATCCTTTACTTGATTAATACCTGTAACCCATGAGTCCAGTTTTAAGCAGCAACTTAGAATAGGAACACTCTAGGCCATCTGCAGAGAACATAGCCTCAAAAAGGCAGTTTCTCATCTTTCAATTGCCAGCATAGAGAATTAAGATTTATGTGAAGTGATTTGAAGAATATATGTCTCTCCCCACCCTTCCAGCTACTCTGAATTCTTTTCTTCCATCATTTTGGGTATCAAAAACCTATATTGCTTCAGTCCATTAGAGAATTATCATCACTAAGTTGGCTTTTTAGTATTATGCTTTTGGGTTAAAATTGCTATGAGAAATTACAGTATTAAAAATGTGCTCAAAAACATTGTCTAATAAAATCTTCTTTGTGGAATATTTAAGATTCAATTCTAGGAATAATTCGGCTCTTACCTAGGACCTGGCATGCTGGATAAAATTAAAATAATGGATCTGATTATGCCTTATTTTTCCCATTGCTACTAGGAAACTCAGAGCTAAATACAAACACACACACACACACATACACACACACGCACACACACACACGCATATGTTTATGTATGTAAACAAATACATTTTTAATGTTCTTTAATTCTGGTTCCCTATTAAATTTGTTGCTACCCTTTCTTGTTTATATAAACAGCAAAATGTGTTCTTAAAAAATAATTCCTAAATTACTTCATAAGTAATTCCCTACAGATGTTCCCTCTTTTCTTACTGGTGTTTCTAATTTGCCCACAACATTGGATTCTGTCTAGCAACCAACGCCACAGTATAGCTAGACTACGAGGGCACTGACAGCTTTTACCACTCTACTCATAGACTAAGAATTAGATCTTCAGTGCTGAATGCAATTATGGCAAAAAATTCCCCCCCACACAAATTCTCTGTGCCTTGAGAACACCCAGGCTAACTGGTTCTATAACTAGTGAGAACGCCACTGGATTTTTGTGTTCTAAATGGTTATGCTTCAAGAGGTAGGACTTGGAAATGGGAACTTCCTGCATGAAGGACCACATAGAATAAAGATTACTAGGAGAGGCCGGGCGCGGCAGCTCACGCCTGTAATCCTAGCACTCTGGGAGGCCGAGGCGGGCGGATCGTTCTGAGCTCAGGAGTTCGAGATCAGCCTGAGCAAGAGCGAGACCCTGTCTCTACCAAAAAATGGAAAGAAATTAATTGGACAACTAAAAATACATAGAAAAAATTAGCCGGGCATGGTGGCGCATGCCTGTGGTCCCAGCTACTTGGTAGGCTGAGACAGTAGGATCGCTTGAGCCCAGGAGTTTGAGGTTGCTGTGAGCTAGGCTGACGCCACAGCACTCGCCCCACGCAAGAGTGAGACTCTGTCTCAAAAAAAAAAAAAAAGATTACTAGGTGAAAGAACCTCTTTAAAGGTCCGCCTGGTGCCAGAATATGTCAGCTTTTTGTTATTGGCAGTAGTGTGCTAGAGCGGACTCTTATGTATTCATGAGAGCTGACTGTTAAAATTTCAGGATTTTTGTGAGTCAGTTGATACCGTGTTGATAGCTTGAAATAGGCTGTGTTGGGAATATTTACACCGTAGAAATTGGCAAATGCTACAAATCAGCTCTCCATTCCCAGAGACCTGGTTGTTAAACATTTACCAGCCCATCACTGCTTGTCTGGCTCACAACTATCTACCAATGAGATAGGTATTACTGTCCCTATTTTACAGACGAGAAAACAGACAAAAAAATCCTTAGGCTTTAAGGAAACATTACAGAGGGAACCAACAAAAAATATAAAGCAGAAAGAAACTGCCAAAGCAACAACAGGTACAGGGTAGTGCTAACTCTGAGGGCTGTATCCAGAGCAGAAAGATCCCATTCAGAGGAAGGAAATGAGCTAATTTAAGGAACTGCCAAATTGAGGTTCAGAAGGCTGTGAGAACAATTTCAATGAGGGACTAAGGAATCAAACAGAAATACCTCCAGAGGGAGCATGAGGCTCCTCCACCCTTTTCCAACCCCTATCTCTCCCTACCTTGGTTGAATGAGTCACATTCAAAGGCAAAAAAATTCCATCCTCCAAGGAGGAAGGGATTAGTCAAGCGTGAGAGCAGGAATTGGATCATGTTTCCCAGTAGGCAAAGCTTCCAGAGAAGTTACAAAGTCAACACACAAGGGTATGTTCATTTTCCTTCATATTTTACTTCCTAGCAGTAAAATGGAATGGAAAAGGCCCTTGGTAGATGGCCTCCCTAATGTAGCACCGTCCTTCCTCTTCAAGGAGTTTGACTCAAAGCAAGGGCCCTAGCCCAGAAAAGCCCAAGGTGAGCAGCCAGTGCCAACTTAGCTACAGGACACCCAAGCGAGGTTCTAGGTTGTTCTGAATTTGGGTTTGCAGTCAACTAATAACCAAGTATTACTCTGCCAGTCATAGTCCTGTCATGTATTAATATTTCCCTCAAGAGCCTGGAGGGGAGGGGATGCTGTGGCTTGGGCCATGGTTAAAGCAAGTCTGGATCCACAGCACTATCTATTATTGTTTTCTCAGAGACCAAGATAATGAAGAGCTCATACAGTTTACAGTAATCCAGAAGTTAAATCGGGTCTGAGTTTTATGGGGCCTGTACGATCTCCACAGAGTTCTTTCTGTGACACTGGATGAGGCCAGGAGACCTTGCAAGAAATTCTCTAGCTGGAGTCCTAGAGGGGAGTTGAACTTCCCTCCTCACATGCTGATCTGTTTTCTGAAAAGGGAGAAAGAGTGTGAAAAGCCCTTGTTTCTTTGAACGTTATCTTGAAAAAATAAATGAGATAATGTACATATGGTGCTTAGTGAGTAACTGGCACTTGATAGATGACAGCTAACTTTGCAATATACTACTAAAACTATGATTATAATAATGCTCGGTCTCCAGGACCAAAATATGGAATTTGAATAAGATCAAGGAGTATCTCTTCTGCCTCTGCTGAAATATTTTATCTTTTTCTGGCATAATTAAGAAAAGAAGGAATTTGGAGCTGGGATTCAAATAATTCTACAACTCTTCAAAATGTAATGACAGTGATGCTATCTTCAATATTTCCTTGGGATTTCCTCAGTATCTACCTCCTAAATGTCTTTATAGAGCAAAACTCTCAGCCCAGTCATCTAACTGCTGCTTCTCTTCCTCTGACATTCGAGAAGCCACCTGTGGCAGACTCAGATGTGTGAATATCCCACAGCCAGCCACCTCTTTCCTTGCCTATGAATTTAACCCAGGTAGAAGGAAGTAATGTGCTCAGGGAAGACTCCCCAAGCAATGAACAACGATTAGTCTAAACCAACCACGTAATCCATTTCTCCTGATCACAGATTGGTTTAGAGGTGTGTATTGCACGAAGTTTTGGCCAACAGGATCTGGAAAGATGTCTGTTGGCACTCTGCAAAATAGGAGAGAGATACGTGTGAGAGAACCTCTAAAATTCTTTCCTGCTTTGCCTTTGCATGTGAAGATATGATGCTTAGAGCAGTCACTGCCATCTTGGCACCACAAGGTCAAGAAGATAATAGAGAAGCTGATCCCAAGTCCTGACATTGTTGACCCAAAGAACTCACCCTGAATTATCTACCTCAAGACATTATTATATGAGAGAAAAATAAATCTTATTATTTAAATCCTTTGTAGGCACATATTCCATAACTTGCAAACGAAATCATCCTAACTGATATGCCTCATCATTTCACTTACCCCAAAATTCCCGTGGAGTGGTGGCAAGAAAATCCCATTGAAAGCACACTGGGAATAAGGGCAATAACTGGTGTTGAAGAGCCCTAGGATGCTTTGCTGGCATTGTTGATAGTCTCCAGTACCCTGGATTTCAAACTGCTGGAATGGAAGGGTCATCTCAAATTTCTTGGTGCAGGGGGTCTTGTAAAGGTCACTTACATTCACTATCTTCTCATATCCAGAGTGAAAGCATGGGTCCTTGAGAATTCCATTATTTGCAACCTGAGTGGAAAAATCACTTGAAGGCATCATGTGTTAATGCTTTGGATATAAGGGGCACCGTCTGACTTCATCAATGTGTAAGCATTGTACTACATCCCAGCTCTATGTCCCTGCCTTGCCCTTGGGATTAAGTTAAAAAAATAGATTTGTATAATGGGCATCAGATGTGTTATCAGATGTAAATGTATTTGGCTATTTATAGAATGCTGATATAGTTAAAGCTGGGCCCAAAATGCTATTAGTTTGGAATGACCCGGAACCCTTAGTCCTAATCACATAGGTCAGGAGCAGATTCACAAGGAAAACTTCAAGGCTCTCTAAATGTGGGGCCTAGGGGTAGTCCTCCAGGAGTCTGCATACCACCCCTACACCACCACCACCTCTCCTGTCAGAGAATCAGAAGCTCCAAGATTCTTTAGGTCATTTAACACACTGACTGCCATGTAAGTTGTATTTAACTGAGGCTAGTTTTGACCCCAGGGCCTCGTGAAGCAAAACCCTGCAGCTAGTTCTTGAAAATCTTCCTTGTTGATGTTTTTATTGTTACAATTAATATTGACAATTTAATTCTAAAAATGTGAATTGCATTGCATATAACTCACACATAGAAAACAATAAAAAAAAAAGAACAAATTAGAACGGATCATTTTGTTTTAATAAAACACCATGGCCCCAGGGAAAACAAAAATTTTTTTTTCTAGTGTGGCAGTCAATGTGTTAAGCCAGTAGTATCAAAAGGATTTCTAACCCATAACCTATAAGAGGAGAAAGGGGATTGTGGTGGATGAGAAGATTAATGGCTCCCATGGTGATTATCTTTTTGATAGTGGTCTTGAGAACTGGAGAGAGTGCCTTGGAGGAGAGCAGAGAACTGGTTGTCCTTTCAGTGGAGACAGGGAACAGCTGGATGTGATATCCTTGCTCTGTGTTTATTTGTCAGGGTGTGCCTGGTACTCGCATGATGTTGAGTGTGTTTAACTTTTCCTGCCTTCAAAATGGGGAAAGCATCTGGGGACAATATTTGAAGTTTTGATCAATAAACTTTGTGTTTTTTCTGAAGTTTTTTTTTTTTTTTTCCTCCTCCTCTTCAGGTCATTTCTAACAACCATTTTCTGTAGTTTGTAGGAAAGGGAGATTAAAAAGTGGTCTAGAAGAGCTTATAAACTGCAATCCACCCTCCAAACAACACTCTACCATGTAATCTTCATTATCATCCCGACAAGGGTGAGAAATTATTTCCTAAGACAGAATCCAAGTCACATCCCTGGAGATAATGCAGTAAACAAACATAAGAGGTGATGTCTGGATGGAACAATTCACAGGGGTCGACCAGATGTCATTAAATATCCTGCCTGAAAAGGTTTGGAAAGTACAATAACCAACTTCAGACCAATTCCTGAATTAGAAAAAGAAAACAACAGGATGTGGGGGCTGGAGGCCCAGAGGTGGGGTGGGCAGGTCTGGATTTGGTTATACTTGCCTGAATGTCCTTGGCCAGTTTCTGCCAGAGCGCTTGATCCTTCCCATAGCACAAGAAGCTATGTGTGTACACGCTGTAGTCCTTGCCATAGAGGCGAAATTGCAGATAGTTATCTGGGGTCTCAGGAATCTTGTTTTGGGGCACAAAAGTGATTTGTGTAGAGGCTCCCCCAAGATCCAAAGCTCCAAAGGTTCCCTCATCTTTGCTTTCATAAGAAATTAGGTCTAACCAACTCAATTTCTGAAAGAGAATATAATGACCAGTGCTAGAAGTCTCTGCACATCCTGCTTTTCATATTATTTCTTGGACTCAGGGACTTCCTAAGGCAAAGAAGCAGGGACATAAAGGTGAGGCAAAGCTCACTGGGGGTTCCTGATCTGCAGCAGATCAACAGCAGGAAAAGAGAGGCTTCAAAGACATAGCTCAGACTGTAGCAACACAGAAGCAGTGTGACTAGTGTTTATAAACAAGGGGACTGGGGCCAGATGGACTCAAGTTCAAGTCCCCACTCAGTTGCTCATTAGCTGTGCAGCCATGAGCAGAATAATTACACTCTTTAGACATCAATTTGGGGCTCTAAAATGGGAATAATAGTACCTCATTGTGTTATTCAGAGAATGAAATCAGCGCATGAAAAGCGCTTAGCATAGCATAAGACACATAGCACTAGGCAAATATTAGCTATTCTTATTTTAATGATAGATTTTTAATTTCCTCTGTGTCTTCCTAAGGTGAGGACATGGTTTAAGAGAATTATACTTCCAGTAAGCCTTACAAATGTGGGAGTAAATTCATTCATTCATTAATTCATTCATCCATCATTCATTCTGGCTAGTGACCCAAGTACTGCCTGAGATAGCAATGCATTGGCCCTTAGGGAGCCACCTCTGTGGGTGCTGTGAGGTATTCACCTGAGTAAACTTGCCCAGTAGATAGTTGATAGTAATCCAGCCGTAGGCACCTTCCTCTTGGCCAGTGATGATCCTGGCGCCCTGGAAGTCAAAGGGGTAGCTGCTGAGGCTCTTTGTCACCACACCCAGGACCCTGTCCGCCAACTGCTCACTTTGCATCCTACACAAAGGAAGAGTTGAGGTCATCACTTTTGTTTTAATAACTACACCTATCCATTTCAGCTAGAGATTCCATGCAATGCTCCTAAGAAGTGGACCATAACACTGGAATAAACAGAGAGAAAAGGATACCTGCATATGGCTGTCAGAGGAAGAACCCTCTTTTTGGATGAGGCAGAACTAATTTTTTGGCCCCCTCTCTCCAAATTCAAATCCTTTCAATCCTTGCATAGGTTGGTTTTCCTAAAATATCGTTTTCGTTCTGTTCTTCTCTGGCTCAATAAAAAATTATCAAGACTCTTAAAATTACTGTGGTGGTGACAGCTGGGTATTGTTTGATCACCATACCTGGAGCTAATGTGTGCTATATTAGCCATTACTGGTGGCCCCTAGCTGGTTACATAGCCAGACTCTGCTCGAAGTTTTAAATTTAGGCTTTAATAGAAACCAGGTGGCAAACGAACCTGCTGCCGGACTGGGAAAAATCTTCCTCATATTATCCTTCACTTCTTGGGTCTGTTTGAGACCTTTGAGACCTAAAGAAGGCATCTTCCAGGGTTGTCATAATGAACATAGGATGCAATTGCTTCCAAGATCTAGTCTATGCCATACTGAGAGCCTCTGGGTGAGAGGATGCTACCTTCCAGCTGGCATTAGGCCCCTGTAATCTCTCATCCATACCTACAAACCGCTTTTCTTTTATCCCTAGCTTTCCTCCCCTCGAAACCATCTTCTCCACCAGCGTCACCAGTTGTGTAAGGTCCTATAATGGCTTCCCACTATCTTCAGGATAAACTCCAAACTCCCTAGCATGGCCCACAAGGCACTTTGTGATCTGGACCCCATCTTCTCAGAATCCCACTTGGAACCCAGGCTCTACCACTTATCGCAAGTGTGACCTTAGGTGAGTTACTTCCATTTGTAAGTCACAGCTTCTTCATCAGGTTAATAATAGTTAATAACATCTCTTCATAGAGTTATGATGATTAAATTAAACAATATATGTTAAGTTCTTAGCACAGTGCTAAGAATATAGCAAGAACTCAAGAAATAACTATTATTATTATTACTATATTATTATTTTACAACATTCGCCCTATCTTCCATCTATGCAAAACTACTTATAGTTCTCTGAATATGCCCTGGTCTTTCACGCTTCCCTCCCTTTGCATATCCATTAGAACACAAGCTCCACAAAGTCAGCGACTTTGTCCTGTTCACTGCTGTATCCCCAGCACTTAGAACGGTGCCTGACAAATGACAGGTGCTGAATAAACATTGGTTACCGACGCACACTGTCTTCTCTGCCAGTAATGCCCTTCCTCCACCCCCAACTCAATCTTCGATTCAGCTCATGTATCCCCTCCTCTGGTAAGTCTTCCTGACCTCCTTTCATGCCGGGCAGGGCCAAATGTACTCCCATAGCAGCTCTGAGCAATCCTTTATTACAGAATTGATCACCCTGTATCAAAACTGATTTCCTTGAGGGCTGAGACACATATTTCCATATTCTGGACAGATTAAGTACTCAATGTACGTGGAATGAATGAATGAATGAACAAATGAACAAGTGAACAAATAATGCACACAGCTACCAGGTGGTAGCCAATAAAGATGTGTTAGTTGTGATTATTTGTGTCTTAGGACATCTGTGAGTCTCCCCTGATCCTCCTTCTCCTAGATATTGAATGGCTAAATCTATAACCCCGAATCCCAGAGTATATAGGATCCATCTTTCTCTCCCTGTGTCCCCTTTCTCCCTTGAATTCCCTGTGGGGAGATGGGCAAGAGGTCTTTTTAAAATCCTACAATAATTGTATACATCCTACTAGAAATTTGGAAGTTTTACTCAATTATTGAAATTTTCTTTCTTAGAAATGGACTTTGGGGTGTGTAGAATTTGGGTTATTGGTGAAGTGTAGCCCTCTCACATAACTTCAGAGGCTCTTTCACTGCCAAGCCTAACTTCCAGACATTCTTGGTCCCTACATGCTGCTGTACCTGAGCAACCGCATGCCTGCTGTGGCTCCCAGGTAAACAGGTGTCTCTTGGTGCTGGGACTTTGGAATCACTTCCCTGGCTCTTTCCATGCATTCAGACAGGTGAATACCTATGTCATTTATTTTCTGAACATATTTTGAGATTCCAGGACCTAAGGAAAGATGTAGAGGATAATATTTTTTAAAAAAGTATAAAACATACCTTTACAATATTAGAGAAAAATATGGTGTTATCTGAAAAACACAAGAAAACAATTTCCTGATGTGGTATATATTAAGTTGTTGTAATTAGAGGGTAACTCACTGGACCTAGCCTTGGTTAATTTTCAAACCTCGAGTTGGGTCTATCTGGTGTTCAATAATTTTGCCACTGGATGGCGCAATTTTACAATTGCATAACATTACCAGAGATTAATTGGGATCTTATAGATAGCTACTCTATTAACTGCTTTTTGATGTTTCTTCCACTAAGTTCTAATAAACAACACTAATTCCTGGAAGAACTAAATAAATATGACATTTAGAACCAAAGTTAAAATAAGCACCAGACACACCAGCTTTTATTGAAAAAAAAAAAAAAAAAAAAGAAGCAGTTAATAATTAGCTACGTGATCGTGGCCAGTGCCCTAAAATTTCTGAGGTGGAGTTTCTTCCTTTGTTAGACGAAACAGGAAAAAAATTCACGTATCCTCAGTGACTTTTCAACTCCAGTACTCTGCCTCCCCAGTAAAACTGTTTTTCCAGTTTTAGATCAAAACTAACTGTTGCTATGGAGAGGATTTGGAGCCAAGATTTCTTAAGCTTTTTGAAGTTAACACTCAACACTTTCATCTCACATTACGATAAATACCTGCACTATTTGCTTTAAGGATAATTATTCAAATAATTTACCTAGATCATTCATAGGTTTTTAAATAGCCTGTTTACTTAACCATGAGACAATCAGCTCTAAGTTATCAGCTAACTGTTTTGATTCAGAAAATCTGGTGTTAAATATTTGATTAACTAGACAACTCTCTTTGAGAAGGGAATATACTGCATTTGTTAAGCCAAATGCTCATGGGATGAGTCTCAGAAGAAAGACATCTGCTAGATTAAAAAAAAAAAAAAAACTTTTAAAAATGGAAGCCAGTGAATTAAATAAAAGCCAAAAAATGAGGGATTTGGGCTTTAAGAAATACTAGAAGTACTGTCTCAGTATTGATGGGGCCAAAGGCTCAGGATATCAGGGTATTGAGTAGAATGGCTTGCTTCCTTGGAAACATCTCCTCTGTACTACTTTCTTGACAAACTACAAAAATTAGTGGACTCCACAGGCAATCAAACTAAAAATCAATCATCTTCTGGGATCTAGGTTACCTAGCTGACTAAAAATAAACAGTGGGTTCCTGGTCCATAAAGCCAAGAGATAAAGGTCAAAGAGATTACACTGCAATGTGATGTTTGGTGCACGGTGGGATACTGGGTGGAAGGAGTGGAGAGAGCTGAACTGTCAACAGCTTTAACTTGTATTGTGACCTTAAAAGGAAACTAACTAAAAATAAAAAATCAATATGTAATGCATAGTTCAGAGGGGCAGGAAGCCTGGAGTACAGTAAGGAGACCTAGATTCTTGTCCTGGTTCTGTTGCTGCTTACAAGGCACTAATCCAGATTTTTGTATCCTTCTCACAAGATTTAAATGATGCACAAGGTCCTTTGCCCAGCCCTAAAAGTCTATGATTTGGTCTTTCCCACCTACACAGGGGTCAAAGGCTTTCAAAAACATCTTCTAAGCTATAGATTAGGGTGCAAGGATCAAGAGAGCAGTAATTCCTTGGACCAGCAGCATCAGCATCACATTGAACTTGTTAGAAATACAAATTCTCAGGCTTCAACCCAGCTCTGCTGAGAAACTCTAGGGGTGGGGCCCAGCACCTGTGTTTTAACAAGCCCTCCAGGTGGTTCTGATACAGTTTCAACCTTGAGAACCACTGGCTAAGACATGGGTTTGATGTTGGGCAGACCTTAGTTTGAACCCCGGCTTCATTACTTACTAGTCCAAGTTACCTTAAAACAAGTGATACAAGCTCTCTCAACCTCAGTGGCCTCATTTAAAAAAGGAAATAATAACACATACCTCAATGGAAAACTGTGATGATGAACTGAAATAGCACATGCTCAGGACTTAGTGCATGGCATGCAGAAGTGCTGTTTATGAAAGCCACTATTACTCAATTATTTTTAAATGTGCTTATTCTTCAAGGGCTTGATCATTAAGGACTGATTTCAATATTATTTTCATAATGATAATAAGATAACAACAATGGGAGCGCCACTGTGTTCTTCACTTGGCTTCCCATGCTTGGGGCTCTTTTTACTTTTGTGTTCTACTTGCCAAACACCCTCATGTTCTCACGTCCCACTGTCTCCCCCTCCCTTTTCTTCATCTTACCTTTTACCTTGCATTCTTCTATCTGATGCACCACCCCTGTGTCATTCTCCTTTTCTGCTGGCCACTTATAGATATATAAGCTTGTGTGAGAAGAGCCCGCATCCAGCACAATCCCATACTGAAAGCAAAACAAACCAAAAACTTACGGGTATCACATCGTTCATCGCCATATTCAGCTTACAACAGAAAGGGAATAAGGATAAGAGTTTTCAAAAACATGAGGAGAATGTATTTTAATTTGAGAGGAACACTGGGTTTGGGGCTGGAGTTACCCTGATCACAAGATCCACCAGGACACCAATCCCTCTAGAACAGGGCCTCTTCATGCTGGTTGCATGTTAGAAATATTCAGGCCTTAGGGTGAGCCCGAGCAGCAGTATTGTTTAGAAGCTTCCTAGGTGATTCTAATGTGCAGCCAAGATTCAGAACCACGTGCTGAAGTGGCTGAGACACTATAGAAGGAATTGAAAGCTATTAATCTGTAGTTCCCAAACCTGTCTACACCTTGGAATCATATCAGAATCACCTGGAAAGCTTCAACGACTACTGACGCCTGAATCCTCCCCCCAGATAGTGTGATTTAATTGGTCTGCTATGTGGACTAGTTTCTGGACTTTGTATAAGATCCCAGGTGATTCTAATGTGTAGACAAGTTGGGAAAAACTGAGTTAATCCACTGAGCGCCACACAGACATAGTAAACATCTTAATCTAATTTTAGTTCAAGAAATGTAGAGTTTGTCTTAAAGACAGACAGAAAATACTAAGTGCACTTTCTTTTTAATTGTAAATATAGTTATAAAATTATATTTAATACATTTTAAAATATATGTACTTAAACATTATGTTTTTAGCTCTTAAAAGTAGGGGGAGATGGGCCGGGCCCGGAGGCTCACACCTGTAATCCTAGCACTCTGGGAGGCCAAGGCGGGTGGATTGCTCAAGGTCAGGAGTTCGAGACCAGGCTGAGCAAGAACGAGACCCCCTACCCCATCTCTACTAAAAAATAGAAAGAAATAATCTGGACAACTAAAAATATATATATATAGAAAAAATTAGCTGGGCATGGTGGCGCATGCCTGTAGTCCCAGCTACTCGGGAGGCTGAGGCAGAAGGTTTGCTTGAGCCCAGGAGTTGGAGGTTGCTGTGAGCTATGCTGACGCCACGGCACTCACTCTAGCCCAGGCAACAAAGCGAGACTCTGTTTCAGAAAAAAAAAAAAAAGTAGGGGGAGATGAAAGGAAGAATAAGGGAAGAGGGGGAAAAAAGCATGAGGAAGAACTAGATGGTCAGAGGAGAAAGGGAAAAGAACAAAGTCACCATATCATATTTCATGAGTGTATTCAATGTTATCAGGCAGGTGTCGTATGAAGCATCTTATATATGAATTATCTGACTTAATTCTTAGAGCAGTGCTATGCAATAGGTACTATTTTTGTCCCTTCTATATAAGTGAGAAACCGAAGTACAAAGAGCTTAAGTAATTTACTCAAGACACACAGCTAATAAATGACAGAGCATAGATTTGAATCAAGGTCAGACTCAAGACCTTATGCTCCTTGTACACAGAAACATAGGAGCAAGGGCTGGGCAACAGTTTTCAAACTGGTGCTCCCTTTTAAGGACACGAAATGAGGGACAAATACAGATAAGTGTGCAAATCTTAGGTGTACACCTCAATGAATTTTTGCATATGTGCACATTCTTATAATCACTGCCAAGATCAAGATACAGAATATTTTCTAGCCCCAGAAGGTTCCCTGGTGCCTCTTCTCAGTCAGTTCCCCTCAAAGGTGACCACTGTCTTGACTTCTATCACCAAGGATGAGTTTTGCCTGGTTTTGACTACAATAAATGAACTCAGATAGTGTGCCTCCTTTATGTCTTCTTTCATTCTACACGATCTGTAAGATGCATTCAAACTGTGCGTATCAGTAGTTCATCCCTTTCCATTTCTGTAGAGTATTTCATTATATGGATATACTATATTTTTATTCATTTGACTGTTGATGAACACTTGAGTTGTTTTCAGTTTGGGGTTATTGGGATATAGCTGCCAGAAACATTCATGTACATTTTATTTTGTGGAAATAAGCTCTTATTTCTTTTGGGTATTTACCCAGGAGTAGACTGCCGAATGCCCATTTTGATCAATTGATAGTCATCTTTTATTTTTTTAAGAGACAGGATCTCACTCTATTGCCCAGGCTAGAGTACAGTGGCACAATCATAGTTCACTGCAGCCTTGAACTCCTGAGATCAAGCAATCCTCTTGCCTCAGCCTCCCAAGTAGCTGGGACTACAGGTGTACACCACCACACTCAACTAATTTTTAAATATTTTGAGATGGGGATCTTGCTATATTGCTCAAGCTGATCTCGAACTCCTGGCCTCAAGCGATCTTCTTGTCTCAGCCTCCCAAAGCACTGGGATTACAGCTGTGAGTCACCAAGCCTGGTTCCACATGGAATTTTTATTATCCCTATACTAGAGAGAAACATGGAAGGGAGTAAATGGGCAAGCAAAAGGAAGAGAAGCAGAGAAGGCCCTTCTGAAATGTGATCCAACTACTCTTGTTACATTAGGCTACTCATTTAAGCTGTGGACCTCAAAGTGTGGTCTGCCACTTGAAAATACTTAATTTGGCAGTTTATATATATATACACACACATACATACATATGTATGTATATTTCTATACCCTCGTTTTGTCACCTGATAAGAACCTAAGAACCTCCTCCAAAGAGAAAAGAAGGTAAGAATGAGGATTCAAGAGACCACCCTGGACCATTAGGGAGGATTTGAATCAGGCTCAGACTCAAGACCTTATTCTCCTTGTACACAGAAATGTAAGAGCAAGGTCTGGGCAACAGTTTTGAGATTGGTGCCCCCTTTTAAGGACACGAAATGAGGGACAATTACAGCAAAGTATGCAAATCATAGATGTATGCCTCAATGAATTTTTGCATATGTGTACAGCCATATAAGCACTACCAAGATCAAGATACAGAATATTTTCTAGCCCCAGAAGGCTCCCTAGTAGAGCCTACTGAATGTCAAACTTCATTCCATTTCACTACAGACCAGGGAATATCACTGTGCAGACTTCATGAAGATCCTTGACCCTCCATAACCTTCACAGTATCCTCTGCCTTGTTACACACAGCAGGGATTCCCTCTACTAATTAGCGTCATGCCCTCAGAAAGAAAAGGGCCTGTGCACTGGCTTTGGGCACAGCAAGGAAGGAAGCAAGCTGGACAGACTCCTCTGCAGCTAGGCCTGCAGTGAAAGGAATTCAAAAAATGGCTTAGGTGGTGACCATTGTGGGCAGAAAGGGACACGGACTGAGGTCTGGGGCCTTTGGACCCAGGGGAAACCTCCCCAGATGGAGAAAGAGGCTCAGGGGTTACAGAGTAGAAAATTCTGTTGTCCCTAGCAGAGTCCATGAATTCTTCCTGCCAGAAAATGTTCCAACCACAGCAACATATGATAATAGCTGGCGAGGCAGCAGCAACAAGCAGCCTTTATCTGGAATCAGGATGTTGTATTCTGTCTAACTTTGTTAACATGAAAGTCACTCTTCTAGTAGAGCCAAGGAACAAGCCTTGCTTCTGTCAGCTTGTTTCTCTAAGGCCTTACACAGTGAGGTAGTTGAGAAACAAAAGCTTTTACTATTAATACATTTCATGTGGCAAATGTTTGAGAAGGGGGTAGGGTATATTTTAACACAGGAATTGAAGACATTCCACTTTATGTATACAGTACACTAGAATGCTAACCTGTTGAAGTGTGCCAAATGTTTTGTCTTCTAAAATGGTTTGCAGAATAAAAAACTGTCATTGCTTGCGCTTGAGAGACAGAGAAAGCTTGATTATCTGCAAGTTCTCAGTTTGAGAATTTTAGGAGTTTGCCTTTCTTTGTTCCAATGTTCATCAGAGCCCAGGTAACAACTACCTTCTCTTTCCACCACATCAGCATTTTCCAATGAATGTTCCAGAGAGCACAAGGCCTGCAACAGTCTTGGTAAATTTAGCTTCCCAGAAGTTTAGGGAATGCTGGTGCATCTGGGCTCACAAACCCATTAGCTAGTGAATGCCTCAGAGAAGTCTGGCAGTGGAGAAACCCAATATTTCTCTGTAGCTCATATTTAAAACATTTCCAAAAGCCCTTATGAGTATGTCCTTCACATTAAAGAAAAAAATCCAAGATATGGGTGGTAAGGAAGAAATCTGACACTCCCTTAATATTATTACTTCAATCTTATTTTCTACTTTAAGAGTACTAAAAGTTTATTAAATATCACCTTGAAAAAGAAGGAAAAAAGAAAAAAAGAGACCTTTAAGATTCCACCAACTAGATATCAGTTATTTTTATTTCTTTCTGTTCTTTCAAAAATGCATAATATTTTTATATAGCTGTATTCTTACTGTGCATACAATTTTGTCCTAAGCTAGCTTTTTATGATGCACATGGTTTTAGTGACCATAACTGATCTTCATGCGCTAGGCTGCATGAACAGAAGCAGTGGTCTGGAAAGAGGAACAGCAGAAATGACCTTGCTTGGTTCACAGAAACACCATTACAGGGGCCCTGGTGAAGACCTAGAAATGTAGGCAGTAACAGACCCTGAGCTCATTGAGCCTGGAGGCAACGTGGAGGTGTGGCAGACCCCTCCTTAGGATGGAAATAATTCTACCTGCACAAGTGTCATAGTTTTGGGCTTCTGGGTAAGTCATCTTAGATGCAGAAAGAGAAAACTGGAGTGTCAGATGGCTTGCTGCCTGGTTCTGCAGAAGTAGGACGTTTAACCCTCTCCTCTGAGTCTCGTCCTTCAGAAAATACATGCCACGGAACTGGCCTGCTTGTAGTTACCCACAGGCTACGTGGATTCTGTTCTGGGGCCTGTGCCCAGAAAGCCCTTCACTTGATATCCCAGCCTTCCTAACCTCCTTAGATTAGATCCTACTCCCCTGATCATAATGCCTGTATGTTTCCTCTAAAGACAGCACTGACACATGGTATAATTACATATTTTATGAGTATTTGATTAATGTCTTTCTTTCCTATTAGATTGTAAGCTACCTGAGGGCAGGTCTACTTTGCTTACCATGTATATCCA